ACGTGTGCCGCACGGGATGGCGCAATTTGTTCTAAAAATAGAAAAATTGTCCCATATCATAGGGACAACCCCAATACTAGAAATGGCACGCGCTTACAGTCTCCGTCCCCGATTATGGTTCTTGGTAATACTTATTACTTACTTATTATTACAAAATGAAAATGAATTCTTAATCAAGCCTTCATACAAGCTATATATAGCCATTTCCTATATGTTAAGTTAGCATTTAGATATGCCTGGAAATAACTTCTTTCTCTTCTGCTGGATTGGAGCTGGATCAGAATGTAAACTTGATAAGGTTTGGAAAACTTTAGTTAGGGAAATGCGATAGATAAAAGAACGTTACATATCGATGTATCAAAAACGTCACTGAAAAATTGTAATTCACAGCTTTATATAAGCGTGAAATCACACGATCGCTTAAAACTGTTAAAACCTGTTAAAAAATTGTTTTCTTGACAGAATTCTGTGGTGACAACACTGGTGGTCCTTACATGGTCAGCTTTCCTCATTTGCCCGAAATTTCCTTACATACGTGCTGGATTATACTGTAATGCATGGCAGAAAGGTTTGCCGTGAACAGGGCTATTAAACTATATGTTGATCTTTCATGATATCTTAAATCATTTTCCTGACCTGATCCCTGCCTATATCCCTCCGGCTTGGAGACACCTTACACAACGTGACCGTTAACGCAATTGGTTACTGAAATAGCCAATTTGTGATCCAGTCCGTTAATTCGTTTTTTTCTCAAAACAAAACGAAAACAAACGCTGACGTTTACCTACACTAAATGCTACCAAGATCTCGCTCAAAAATATGATAAACTATTTTCTTTGATAAAATCCTTAATAATAATTTACTAAACTAAAAAAACTTCTTTTAACTAACTAGTTATGGCAAAAAAAAAATACCAATGTGTAAGTTGCTGAAGAAACCTTAATCCAAAAAATAAAACTGTACTGGAAGGAAAATCAAACTTGAAAGTAGTCTGGCAAACAGTCAAACCTGTATTAAGCGGGCCCCATATTAAGCGGACACCTTCTATTAGCAGGCAGCAGCACAAGTCCCATTTGCTGAAGAAACCTTATGCCAAAAAAAAAGAAAAATACTGGAGGGAAAATCAAACTGGAAAGTAGTCTGGCCATAAAGTCAAACCTGTATTAAGCGGACCCCATATTAAGGGGACACCTTCTATTTAGCAGACAGCAGCACAAGTCCCATTTTTTCGCCACATTTACGCACGTTTTTTGTTCATGTTTTTATAGACCGGCCATTTTAGTTTGCCGAGAAAGAGCTGTCACTGAAATGCGACAGTTCATTATTCGTTTTTGCTTTTACAGAATTTTTATTCTTGTTTGGTTGTGTGAACCTTCACATAATTCAATCAATATAGATACTGTTACTGTATACTTAAATCGCTTAACATCTGCTAATAAAGCTTAAACGATCCCATAAACTTGTGACTCACTTAGTTGTCCTTGTTTATGGAAATACGTTATTTCAGAGTTAACGACCGCTCAAGATGATGGTATTTCACCCTTTTAAGGCTGTTTTTGGCAGACGCCTTGTATTGAGCGGACACTAGCAAGGGTCCTGAGGGTGTCCACCTAATACTGGTTTGACTGTAGCTACGATATGCCATTAAACTGGGTCTCCGAGATCCTTAATAATCTCTTCCATATTTGGTCTCGCTTTAGGATCTGATTGCAGACATCTCCGTATGAGGGCTCGAAGCAGGCGATTTGTCATCATTGCGATTTGTTGAACACGCCTTTCAGGATCTGGTAACTCCTGGATGCACATTTCACAGAGAAGAACGCCGAAACTGTACACATCGACCTAGAGACAACGATTACAAAACATACATATCATAACACACTAAAGTTATCTACTTCCAGCGTAAAAAGCATGAATAATTATTTATTAACGGAGTACCATGCAACCTACTCTGTGTTCATTCAGATACTGCAATGTTTTGGACAACTGCCATTAAAGTTACTTATCATCTGTGAAAAAATACTACAACGGTAAAACCTATAAGGTTTGGTTATTTGTTATTATAATCAATGAATTATTCTCCCGCGAACAGTTGCTGTAAATATGTTAAGTGCCCCAGCCAAAACGGCCCTATCCAAAGATATCCCCGAAAGGAAATCCCTCAATTTTCAACCTCATGCATTTTGCGATCGCTTTGTGAACACCAACAAAACTACCTTTAAATGACCTTATGTAGTTGACAACCTACATAAGTTCTTTTGTGAGCTATTAAGAATATTTTAGTAAATTTACAGAAACAGTGTTGTAAATATTTCCTGAAAAATATCAAAATTATCTTCTCTTTTACTGACAAGTGCAAATCTAACCAATTTTTCATTTTCTAAGAGGTCTGGTGAATGACTCAATTTGTTCCTACAACTTAAAAATTTCATAGATGTGTATGTGTACACTTAACCAAATTGATGGGTGGCAAACCTTAAGCAAGTCATAGCTAACCTTGACTGTTTGTTTTGAAGTTAGTGCTTCCGGAGCAATGTAAATCATAGCCCCAGGGCTAACTGTCATGGTATGCTGCATAAAGTTTGCAGTACCATAATCGGACACTTTGCCTCGCCATTGGTCACCCTGTCGCCATAGCAACACATTAGCACTGCTGATGTCACGGTGAATAATTGGAGAAGGTTTCTTTTGGTGAAGGTAGTTTAATGCACGAGCCACATCCAAAGAAATAATGGAGACTTCTGTGGAAGAGAGAGGTCTCTGTTCTAACAGTGCTCGTAAACTTAATTCCATAAGCTCTGTTACAAACAGAGGACTTCCCTCGTCATTGGATGCTCCAATGAACTGCAGCAAACAAGGATGGCGGCATCTGGCAGCAATGTCCATTTCTCGTTCAAATAAACTCCGGTTGTGTGGAGAAAGAATCAACTCATGGATTTGCTTCACGGCAACAGAACAGCCACAATATTTCCCCTCGACAACACTTCCCCAGCCTCCCCTACCAAGTAGTTTATCTGTCAACTGAATTTGATGACGAGAAATGACCCAATCAGGTGTGGCCTGTCGACGTTGATGTTCACTAAGTGTTTGCTGAGCTGTTAAAAGAGTCATCTCCAATTCATTCACTTCCTGGTCTTTTACCCTCAGCTGCCGTTCTAAGGTAGTCACTTGTTCCTGTAAGTTAGCCGTTTCCTCCTCTTTTACCCGAAATTGTCCTTCTGAGTTTGTCAACTGTTGTTCCATCTCCCTTAGCTGTCTCTGTAAATTCGCTTCTTGGTCGCCCTTCGCTCTCAGCTGTTCTTGTATCTCCCTTAATTGTCTTCGTGAGTTCTCTTCCTGTTGGTCTCTTTCTCTCAGCTGTTTACGTAAGATGGCCTCTTGAACCTCTTTTTCGCTCAATGCTTCTTGGAAAATTGTCAATTGCTGTTCCCTTTCGCTCGATAGCCTTTCTTTTTTTCTCAATTGTTGTTCCATTCTCGCCAACTGCTGTTCCATCTCCCTCAATTGTCTTTGTAAGTTCTCTTCTTGTTGGTCTCTTTCTCTCAGCTGTTTATGTAAGATGCCCTCTTGAAACTCTTTTTCGCTCAATATTCTTCCTTGTTCTCTCAGTTGTTGTTCCATTCTCGCCAAACGTTGTTCCATCTTCCTCAATTGTCTTTGTGAGTTTTCTTCTTGCTGCTGTTTTTCCCTCCGCACATTTTCCAACTGCTGTCCCATTTCCCTCAGTTGTGTCTGTAAGTTTTCTTTTGGCTCTTTCTCTCTGTACACTGTTGACAAAAAGTTGAATTTAGTAGCGTTCTAAACATCGAAACACAGGTTTAGATCCATCGCCTTGCAAACTAGGCGATGACAACTACATTGTAGAAGCATTCTTCTGTGATTAAATTGATTACTTATTAGGCGGATAGCTAGTTAGGCTAGTTTGCAAAAATGCAAACAGCGTCCAAAGTATCGATCTATTGAAACACACCTCACATATAGAGCATCAGCAAAAATAATTGTAAGAGGTGCTTCACAGTCTCTCCTTCTTAGCCACCTATAGAACTCAGTATCCTCAGACCTATACAGTGCTGCAATGTTGGTGACAAGTTTTGAATGCTCTTTTCACTAATGCTGCATCATATACTTGACGAATAGAATCTATGTTGCTGTGGGTCTGTGGCAGTGGCAGTGGCAGTGGCAGTGGCAATGGCAATGGCAATGGCAGTGGCAGTGGCAGTGGCAGTGGCAGTGGCAGTGGCAGTGGCAGTGGCA